AATAAGCTTAGCTATGACCCTCGAATAATAAAATCCTTTGAAATTAGAAATTGAGGTTTGCCATTTAGCGAATTTTCATGGCCCTCGCAAAGTTAACAACGCGTTAGTTGCTTTAGGTGCGTTATTTTTAATAATATTACCTTCCTAAACTCGGGTGCACATTTCATGTGACCCAAATCCAAATCTTAACAAAATCAAATAGAATGTCTCAGACTGTGGGTGCATTTCATGTGGCGCGGTCAAAAGATGTATTTTGGCTGATGTTGAAATCTTCCTTAAAATGAATAAAAGCGGTTATAAAGTTAAAATGCATATAGGTTCAAAATGTTCTAAAATCAGATAATAGGCCAATTATAACAATTAAGCGACCGTGCTAGAACCACGGAATCCGGGAATGCCTAACACCTTCTCCCGGGTTAACAGAATTCCTTACTCGAATTTCTGATTCGCGGACTGTAATACAGAGTCATTCTTTCCTCGATTCGGGATTTGAACCGGTGACGTGGGACACCATAAAATTATCCCAAGTGGCGACTCTGAATTTTTTTAAAACAATAAATCCCGTTTCGATTGTCCTTTAATTGGAAAAACTCCTTTATTTATACCCTTCCGGGGTGTAAGATAAAAAAGAGGTGTGACAGTACTGTGCCTTTGTTGATGCTTAGTGTTAACCCTTTGCTCTCTATTTTCTGGTTATTGCGTTGCTGGTGTTATCTGTTAGGATTCCTTTGCTGCTACTGATATATTGTCTCTTTCCTTCTTGTGCCGAGGGTCTACCGGAAACAGCCTCTCTACTCCTCCGGAGTAGGGGTAAGGTCTGCGTACACACTACCCTGTGGGATCTCACTTGGTTGTTGTTGTTGTTGTTGTTGTTGTTGATATTTCATTCTGTCTGTTTTTATATATATATATAAATATATATATACTAGTAGGGCCTAGCCTGACCTCGTCACTACTCGACCGAGGTTAGGCTTGGCACTTACTGGGTGCTGTTGTGATGTACTCACGCCTTTCCTTCACATGTTTATCGTATGCAGATCCAGATACCTCCTACCAGCCTCGGGTTTAGTTGTGTGGTTGCTGCTTTCAGGAGACTTCAAGGTACATCTGTCCGCGTCCGCAGACCTCGGAGTCCCCCTCTATCCCCTTATGTTAATTCTTCCCTTATTTCTATAGACACTCATGTATAGAACAAGTAGAAAATCGTAGAAGCTTGGATTTACGGTGTTCCGGGTCTTACCGAGTGTTATGTATATTTCGAGAGTTAATTATTGTATAAGCCGAGCGACATCTCTTTTGCTTATTTAAAATACTTGCTAATGTTAGTTGTTTAAAAATACCTGCTAACCTTTTGATGATGTGTGCTCGAATATCTTGTTTTACCTCGAGAAAAAATGAAAATGTATTATTTTTCTTTCCTTGTGAATCCTGAAAAAGAAAGCTAAACTAATTGAATTTTAAAGAGCCAAATATTAAAACTCCTTTCATAGTTCAAATAAGGAAAAATATTTCAAATAAAGAAAGGTTTGACATATAAAGTTTAGTTGATTTCAAACTACTAAATATTAGAAAAATAATTAGATGAGTATTCCTAAATATTAGGAAATTAATTAAATGATTATTTTTAAAAAATAGAAAAATAAGTAAATGATTATTTTGTCTAGTATAAACTCTCATTTTAAAGTAAAAAAAAGCGAACGATATTACCCTTAAGGGCCTTCGTACTTTTAATATAATATCGATATAGATATATGGGGAAATATTCTATTATAAATAGTAGCTAAAAACTCATAGCAAACTTAAAAAATGGCTATCCCATCTTTTTTTTAAAACTGTAAAACAAAAAAAATCCAATTTTCACTTTACCCTCGCATAAACGGCAAATAGCAACTCACAGGCTTCAATTCCGGCATCTCTCCAGAAAACGGAGTCAAACCTCTTCTGCTTCCGGTTAGTCCATCACGAATCGGAGCGCAGAGCATAGTGTAGCTAAACTTACTATTACGCAAATACTGCAATTCGATTCTTCATGGAACTCAAATTTCGACATCGAGATTACAAAGCTGAAGTAGAGATTCACTCCTTCCGCCGAATGCCAGCTGAGACTCATCCTCTCTCCCTTCAATCACCGTCGTGTGATCAGGTTTAATGTTTTTCTATTTCTCGTTTATATCAATTGCAGGCATTTGATTACTCCACAACTTGCATTTTAAATCAGTGGAAAATGTTGTAATGTATCACTTTGACTGGGCACGGAGTTTAAACAAGAAAAAAAATACTTGTGATCTAAAACAAGCCATACATATTTATGTAGCTATAAATTATCTCATTAAAGATAAATGAGAAGTGTAAAGTTAAATTATTTTTAAATATATAAATATATCATTCTTTTTAGGACATGCTAAAAACAAAGTGCATCACATAAATTGGACTTGGTTAAATACTTAAATGTCCTATGGTTCAGACAGATTAGGAAAACATTTAAAAAATGTGGAGAAAATTTCGATTTTGACAAGTTCAAGCTAATTAGTGATGGTAAAGTTTCTTTTTTCAGTGGTTAATTATGGAAGGAAAAGAAGTTATTAAGATGCTAATAAGTTAGAAGCACATTCAAGTTTTTTGAAATCGTATGTTTTATGCTTTATTGAGATTTGTGCAATGCAATTTCAGCCGAACAGGAGAAGGAGTTATAGTTGTTGGACTTGATACTCCTTAGCGGCTTAAGACTTAGGACAAGAAAGTGCACCCACACTCCTTACCGGTGTTAAGACTTAGGAAAAAAGAAGTTCAACCACGCGTGTGCAGGGTAGGGGTAAGGCTGCGTATATCCTACCCTCCTCAGACCCTACTTGTGGGAATACTCTAGATTGTTGTTATTGTTGTAACCAAGCGTGTGCAGGAATGAAGAACATGAGAAACCATGGTCCCTTGTGCCGGAGTTTTGGTGGGCAGGGCTCATTCTGTTAAGAACACTAGTGTACGCAAGTTTTTTCGTAAGTGGTGTCAACATTTTAAAAAGTGGATGCACGAACGAATTACTGCAACAACTTCATATTATAAACACAACTATGATCGTATTAATAAACACAATTCAAGTACATTACAACAACTCTCTTGGACAATTTCATTTTCTGAAAATGTATTCAAAATAGCTTCTTTCATCGATAGTCAATGATCCACCAAAGTTGAGAGAGATGACGAGGGAGATAAGAAGTTAGTAGAGTAGTATTAGCAAGAGAGCAAACCCAAAATTTGCAAGGAAGAAGATTCTTTTTTCAAATTAGGTTCTAAATTCACTTATGTTATTTTGAAATAATTGTTTTCCTTGAGCTGAAATTTGCATTAATATTTGGGTTATCACAAAGGTTCTTTAGCTTCGAAAAGAAAAGAAGGTTCTTTAGTTTGTCTTAGCTGATCCTTGCCTTGTAGGAGATCAGAGGTTCGAATCTTTGTATCTTTATCTTTTACAAATCGAACTCACAAATTTCAAGAACATTCATCCAAGTAAATTTGAAACCCCAACCTTCAATAAGCAAAAGTAACGCCTTAATCAGCGGACTGACGCACACTTCTTGTGCGATGGTATCATTTTACGTAATTTAACGCCTTAATCAGCGGACCGACGCACACTTCTTGTGTGATGGTATCATTTTACGTAATTTATACAATTTCTTTGCTTGGATACTATATATATATATATAATAAAAAATTTCGATTCTTAAGCAAAGGTGCATCGGCCCCCGGGTAACACGATGCATGCACGAGCGAAATATGTCAGCAAGCTGGTCTACACGCCACAGTTTAAAAAGAGAAAAAGAGAAGAAATACTTGAGACAAAAGAAACTACTCCTGTAAGAGAAGGGACTTATAAGCTAGTCCAAAGTAGAGTCGAAACCAGCATAGGAAAAGAAAACCAGATAATTGTATAAGATATGTAGCTAAAATTGTACCCACTGTTGATTGCTTCAGTATGGTGAAAGATTATAATGGCGATAAATATCACCTAGGTTTCATCAATTGTTTAGTCAATTCCTTTATGTGTGATATGGACTATATGGCTAGAAAGGAATAGGGCCTGTCTTGAAGGGAGAAGACAGAATATTTCCAGGATTAAAATAGTTGTTTACTAAATTTGTATTTTTGGTGTAAAAGAAGTATTACGGAAAATCTGGAACAATGTTTAAACTTTGTAGAGGAGTTAGGTGATATGGATTTAGGGGATTTGGAATTAATTGATATGTAGAAGTTCTTTTTGTAATCCAGCTGGATTGTACGCTTCTGTACCATCTTGGTACTTCTATTAATAAAATTTTACCTTATCAAAAAAAATAATTGTTCAGTCAATAACCCTACGCTATGATTTATCTTGGGCTTTGTTGCATTTAGCATATTCAGATGCTTGGCCATTTCCTAATTTTTCGATCAATTGGTCGAGTCTGTAGGTTGATGTTACGGATTATGGCAGGGATGAGTTTTTTGATCCATTAAGGGGGAATAGTGGAAAACCAGAGGATTCAGCGAAGGATTTAGGAAGCACAGCTGCTGAAATCACAGCAGAACCATATAGAGATATTACTATTAAATATCCAGGCACGGAATGGACATCTTACAAGAAAGTCTTGATGCAAAAATTTCCTGTCTCCAAAATGATTTCTGTTTCTTCGGTTAGTATCCCTTTTTAATCTTCATACACCTGCTATTGAGCTGCATATAAATTGTCTTAGTGGATCCCTAGTTAGTGGTCTTCTTATGGGTTATGGTATAAATTTGTTTTAAAGTTGAGTTATCAAGATTTCTATTTCTATTCAATGGATCAGTGGAAAATTCTTTTCTTATGCTGCAGTTGCTAGCTATATCTTATAACGAGATTGTGTTTGTTTTGGCCCAAAGTGTTTTTTTTTTAATCTGTNTATCTTTTCATTGTCTACCTTTTGGGGTCATTTCAAAGGTTTTTGCTTAAAAGGAAGACATAAAAGAGAAGGGAAAAAAGAGAAACTAGGGTGTCAAATGAAAAATATTATGAACTTTTAATCAGTGTTGTACGTGTTAAATTTTTAATATTGTTCTGGGCTTCGGTATAACCTTTTAATTACTCCTTACAGCTGTCAAGCTCAATTATGAAGACAGGCAAGGGTATGATATCCTCACCATATTTACTTTATGTGGCGCATTGCTTATTTTGAAATGTCCCATAATAATTTACATATTTTGGCACACAATAATATTCTGCATTATACAAGGTTTAAAGCATTTTCGTTTAAGCTTATGATACGTTATTTCCATGTAAATCTGACTTGCATACCTAATCCAAAACTAGTTTTAATATTTTTCTACCTGTGCAAATACAATATTAAGTCATCTGACTCCTTAATCTGTGTGGCTCGATCAAAGATTGCCATATAAAATAGGGAAAATAAGTGATATGAAAGCTTTTTTTCTTTATTTACACGGACTTTTAAAGCTTTCTCATCCTTTTATTTCTGAAGCAGCTGAGAAAAATGTAAAGAAAAAGGGTATCATTTGAACTTGTTTCTTATGTTAGAATAGCTATTTCATTTCCTCGGCAATAATTGGTATGATGATTAAATACTGTAGGCACTGAGAAACCCTCAGCAAATGCACATCTAGAGGAGCTAGATGATCCTCAGAGATTTGCTGAAGGTGTTAAATATATCACCCTGCAGGAGTATGTCTCACGCTTAACTGAACTTAAAGATGAAATTAGTCGTGCCTGGCATGCAAATGACCGTGTAACCTCCTTTAATTTGTCAATCAAGGTAGTTTTTGTTCTAAACTATCTCACATTTGCTTCTTGTTGGATTCTGCACTTACCAATCAAGTGATCATTCTTTTTGGATAAGTACCCGTCAGTTTAGCAATTTTATTTCATATTCATAGTAAGTTTCAAGCTTGCTAATTAATAATACTGGGCTCATAGCTTAATCTGGTTGGGTTGGGTTATTCCTGATCAAGTGATCTTTCTTTTTGGATAAGTACCTCTCTGCTTAACAATTTTATTTGGTATTTGTTCAATAAGTCAGTTTCAAGTTTGCTGTTTAATAATACTTGGCTCATAGCTTAACTGCTGACTTGGGTTATTCCTGGGTACATACCTATAGCATCGAACAACAATAAAGTCCAAACTTATTCTATCTCCACATTGACTTGAGGCAAAAATTGCAGACCATTCCCTTTTCTCTGCTGCCAATCCATGACAGCTGATGCTGAAAAGATTAATTCAACTGTTAAGATACAAACACGACTCACCTGATATTCTGATATACCAACATATTTCCAAGAAAAGTAAATGGTAAAAAGCATGATTGCATTGCTTTCGTATTATTCGTTAACAGGAGAAGTTGCTTCTCGTCCCTGCTCACTGATTCCAACAGTAAACGAATAATAAAGGATCGTTAATCAACTGATCAAATGAACCACAGAATATAATAACTTAGACTCTTATATAGCATCAGGTTGCCTGTTGGCATTTTCTACTTCTCTGGGTTTTGAGCTTAATGTGCCTTGACTTCTCTTGTTTAGGTTGCTAAGCTACTGTCGGATACATCTGTACTACAATTTTATCCAACGTTATTTGTCCTAGCTACAGAAATACTAGATATGTTAGGGGATATGGTATGGGAACGCATCAGGCAGAAAGCTGAATACACTGAAGATGGGACGTTAGTCCATTTACCAGGTATAGCTCTCACATTTACCCTAGTTCTGCTTCCCCATGACCAACTGGCACTCTAATTTCCGGTAACCAGTGTCCGCTCTTGTCATATACGTTTACTGTGACCCAATTCTAGTTTCGAATGCAGTTAAAGTTTGTCGTCATCCTTGTTTAGAAGTGAATGTCTGCCACTGTTAATTGTAATGGCAAACTGTAGAATCCTTAGGCCCATGGTTAGGATAGTAGATATCTTGGCAACGAGTTATGCAAATTATCTTACTGTTACTGTTAAGCCTGACATTAGCACCTTAAGGATCTCCAATTCCTAATTACAACTAATCACAGTCTGACAGGAATTGGTGGGATGGTTATATGGTGAAGAAATGCTGGATAAATTGTCGTGCTGTTAAAATTCCAAATCAGAACTGCGTGGAAAACATTTCTTATTTTTTCATTTGTACTATTTTATTTTTAAGTTGAAGGAAAAGGTTTTAATGTCCTCAATACACCTAAACTCTAAGATATCTATCCAATTTTTGTTTCTTCTTTGTTTTCAGTATTCTGATATCCTTGATGTAATTTTTCTGGTTCCCTGAGTCTCATATCTTCCTAAACGACACACTTGATCTATGGCAGGTAACTTTCGAGCAACTGAAATCTGTGCTGAAGCCAAAGAAACCTGCTATAACTGGTTCTTCAAAGTTGGTTCCATCCGCGAGCTATTGCCACGCATGTGAAGTCCCCAGTTCTCAATTGCTATCCTGTCTCTTTGAAGTTCTTGATTCTGCTTCATTAATTTATCTTTAGGTGTCTGTTATTGAAATACATAATGTCCTTAACTGAGATGCTGGAATGGATTAGGAAGCATCAGAGAGTTTTTGAAAATTTAACATATTTAGGAATGATTTTTGGATGTCCGTTCCGTCTTAAAGTGATAATCTTGGTACACTAGAGATAAACTGGTAACATCTCCGTACAAGCTGGAGATTTATCACTGTATTGCTGGCATGGTAAATTTTGAGTTATCTGGGACCTACATTGCCATCTGGTTTGTCTATACAACTGCTTTCATCATAATCATAAAAGTGAAGCAGATTTCCTCCTCCCCCCTCTTGACTGGGGATGATTTAAAGTTTTCAATGATAATTCCGCCTCTGGAATTCATTGTTTCGTGCTCATGGTCCTTATCAGCTGAGCGGCTTTTGGAAGCTGCTAAGAATTGAAAATCGTCAATATGGCAAGAGCACATTATAAATACGAGAAATGTTTAGAATCCCTATAATTATATAATTAGGAATATAAATTACTTTCTTCCTTTATTGGATTATACTTGTAAAGACTATTTAAACCCAACCTGTTTGAGGGAATGATCAAGCAATACTATCACCGAATCTCTTCTTCTCTTTTCCTTACAGAAGCAAAGTGTCTGTAACCTATGTAAGATACTATTTTTGAGAAGGATTAACCTATGTAAGGTATTTTTGCAGGGAAAAAACCAAAATCATCTTTTTCATTTCTTTTTTCTTTTTAAAATTAAAAGATTGTGCATTAGTTTATGTTTCCATCAGTCTTGCCGTTGAAAAATACTGTTCTGCGCAGATACTTGGAGCTGGCGATATTCCATTGCTGGCGTTTCCTTCTGCAAAAACCTGCTGATAATCTTCCACGGCTAGTTATGATGGCGAGAGGCATTGCAGATCCATTAGTTTCATTTTATTGCTGCTTATATTTGGCCCACTGTGCACAAAAGTTACCTCAACGGGACATAGGTAACACTATATGTACTTTTACTTGTTTAGTCACGAAGGATAGCTATACTATCAATGCAGATAGATATTTATATATATATATATATATGTGCTAATAAAATCTGTGGCAAATTTGACTCAGTAAGCTGTAGCTTCTAATGGTCATGCGAACTACAACTATGAAAATTTGATAGATCAATATAGTGTTGGCTAGAGTAAAAAGCACTGGGTGATTTTTTTATACTGGCTGTGCAGTGAATGTTGTAGCAGTCCTTGGGGTTTTGTCTCTTAGTTTGGATCTTATTAGTTGAAGATACTTTTAAAATTGTCTCCTTGTTGTATTAGGACCTTATTTATATACTTTGTTCCATTTTAAATGGTTCTTTCTTAGCTAGGCTATAAAGTCTCACTTAGCATTAAATTTTAAATTTAATCTCTGTATTATAAACCTTGATATAAAGGAGAAAAGAAAATAAAGATTTTGGGAATTGAAGCTTGATTATTCCCTTAAAGAGACGGTATTAAAGCAGTAACTTTGATATGGCGCTTTGAGAGAGAATCTCTCTAGAAGTAAAGAAGTTCAAAATTAGTCAAACAAAGACATCTTGGCCTGGCTAACATCGACTTCCAATGGGGAGTGCAGTCAAGTATTAACTGGGAATGGACCAATTTTCAGACTACCTCCATTAACACGTAGTTGAAAGGAAGGAGTTTCTTGTGATTTGACTGACCGGAAGATTTGAAAAATGTGCGGACTCGTCGGGCTTGATATCTCCACTGGAGGCATAGGCGATATCGATGCGGCTGAAAGTCTCGGTTGTGAAGAGGAAGTACTGAGAGTTTTGGGTGAGGGATGAGATAGATGGAGAAACTAATTACTATTAGAGAGATGGTTGAAGACTATTCGAGTAATCGTTGTGAAATTCAATGGAGAAGGATATACTGGTCATGAATGTCGCGGGGTTGCAAATCATCTTTGTTGGAACGCTTTTTTTTTAGAAAGGGAGGTGATGTTTGTGTGGACATCATTGATGTGGAGTGCAATTTAGTAGACCTAGCTAAGGCCAATTTATATGCAAAAAAAAAAGAAGGGAAAATATGATGATTTCCATGGTAATGGAGAGTGGTGACTTAAGTTTCAGGTTTGGTTAGCCCAAGTTTTTAGCTCTGAAATTATGGACAAGATTGGAAAGGGAGGGGAAGGGGAGAGAGGAGCCAAAGGATGATGGTGGGTCATGACAAAAAAAGTAAGTTTGGAATGAGCGAGGAGCTAGTAGTTGGGCAAAATAGGGGCTTAGCCAGAAACAACTAAATTGGGAGGGCTTGTCAACAGATGTTTTTAAAACAAAGGTTAGTTGGCGAAGATGAATGAGGCAAAAGGACAAATTTACCTTAGATTAGTGAATCGGTTTGGAGGTAAAACTTGGACCAATTTAGTACTCAACACAGTTCCCTCTGGTCTAAACGATGTTGAATCGGCCTTAATTGTCGAAATAATTAAAGATTCAATTTTGCTTCGATTCGACCGCATTTAGATCGGAGAGAACCATGTTGAGATCTTCAGAGGAATCTGGAAATGCTTTATGTTCTCGCCGAAAAGACTATATCCTCTTCTTTTCATCAACTTGTGGTGATCAAATCTGTTTTTGCAATCTTGCTAGCGTTAGAGATGCCCCAATCTAGTGGGGGTATACTAGAATAGATTCAGAAACTTTAGATAAAATGGAAAAAATCGGAGGATTTTGTAAGGAAAAAGAGACCCTTCATATAGGATGCTACCTTTAGCTCTTATGTGGTAGGTCGTAAGGAAAGAAATAGAAGGGCGTTTGATGGGGACATGGGGTTGAGAATGATTTTGTATACTTGAGGAATAACTTCTTGTCTGTGATTTCTTTTTAGTGCACCATTGAGTTTCTGGTTTGTATGGATGATTGGATGACTTTTTTAGAGAACCACATTTTATTATAGGCTTACTACTTTTGGAATACTGCTTTGTGTACGGGTGTTTTTCCCATATTAATAAAACCATTTACTTCATCAAAAGTTGCTGGTAATGGGGAGCGTTGGCGTAACTGGTAAAGTTGCTGCTATGTGACCAGGAGGTCGTGGATTCGAGCCGTGGAAACAGCCTCTTGCAGAAATGTAGGGTATGACTGCGTACAATAGACCTTTGTGGTCCGGCCCTTCCCCGGACCCCGCGCATAGCTGGAGCTTAGTGCACCGGGCTGCCCATTTCATCAAAAGAATAATTAATTTCAGCATCCTACATACAATAATCAATAATGTTGATTTTAATCTAACTCTCTCAAGGTTGAGATCCAAAGAACCGTCTCTTTTGAAGTGCATGACTTTACCTATGAAATGATTATCCATCGCTTCACATTGCTTCATTGTTTTAACCGACAAAGTGATGGCTTTTAATGACACTGGTTTAAATTGAGGGAGTAGATAAAGATGCTTTTTCATTGGCATTCATAGAATGAGGGAGGAGTTTGTCAAAATAGACAAGGGAGAAGTGCTTAGTTTTGCGAAACTTGTGGGAGTGACTTCGTAGGAGGAGGACAGAGTTATTAAAGTGCTAATTGATCATGAGCATGAGTCAAAAGGGGTTAGCTACGAGAGTAGGGTTAGTAAAGAGGAAAGACAAAGGGGTTCAAGGGAGGAGCATGAGGTTGGGATAACATTGTAGTATATCAAAGGAGGTTTGGAGGAGCATGGGTGATTTGTTGGATAAAGGGAGGGAAGGAAAAGTTGTCGATGGAAGTTAAGATTCTCTTATGGAGTGTGGGTGGATGAATGACCCAATTAAGAGGGGCATCATCAAGGTGAGAGTTATAAGAGGGGAGTGGGGAGATTTGTTGCGTGTTCAAGAAACGAAAAATGAATGTCTTAATGGACTCAATTGTGACGAGTGTGGGCATTGGAATGGAAGGTGTGAAGTATGATTGGGTTGTGACAAGGGGGAGGCGGGTGGCATTCTATTGTTTTAAGATAGACAAAAAAATGGAGGTAATGGAGGTGAGAATGAGGGAGTTCATAGTTGCAACTCGGATTAGAAACGAAGGGAGTGGTGAAGAATGGGGTTTTGGGGTAGTGCACTAACCCGTGGGGAGGGCTCAAAGAAGAGTTTTGGGAGGAGATGACCACCTCAATGATGAAATAGGAGGTCCCTAAGTTTAAGAGGGTCTTCTAACACGATGTGATGGATGTAGGAAAGACTGGGATGTAGAACGGTGTCTAAGCCAATGGGGAGTTTTGGAGTTTATTAGTAATCAATCTCTTATTGATCTTCCTTTACCAGGAACAAGTTTCACATGAACCAAGGCAGAGGATTCTACTTCAAAATACGGTTAAACAGATTCTTGGTGTCCACCATGTGGCAGATGTATTGCACGTTCCACAGTTAGATTGACTTCAGATTATTCGCCTATCATGCAAGATGGTTGCAGAGGAAGGAGTATATGCTTTTTTCGATTCAAGAGCATGTGCTGAAGATGATTGATTTACACTTCCTTTCCGGCTTGCAAGGAAGTTGAAGATACTAAAAAGGGACATAAGGGAGCAAGAAGATTTTCAGGAGGGTAAAGGTGAGGTTAAGGGAGTTGATGTGGAGAGAGTCGAAAGGTTTAGAGAGTCAGAGGAGAGGGAGAGAATGAGGAATGACGAGGCAAAAGGGGAGGTAGCTACGTTGTCAATAGTGCAAGAGACTAGTTGGAGGAATACTAAGTTCTTTCACCGGGTGGTTGTAACAAATAAAAGAAGGAATTTTATAGAATCTTTAAAAGAGAACGAGGTAGTGTTCGAGGGAGAGGAGGAAGTAAAAGGGAGATTGTGGGCTTTTACAAATAATAGTATAGCAAGGAGGTGAGTTGGAGACGTAAGCTGGGAGGAATAGTGTTTAACAAAATAAGAGATGAAACAGGTTAGTGGCTGGAGAGGGTTATAGTAGAAGAGATGGTGAAGGAGGTAGTAGAAAGTTGTAGAAGAGACAAGGCATCGGGATAAAAACAAAATGATGAAAGATAAAACAGCACAGAGAACAATTCAATGGAGGAAAGCTTTGACCCAAAGCTACAATGAAGAAGAAAGGATGAAATCATGACCTGTTTTGCAAAAGGGAAGCACTGGTTCGTTAGTCGAATCTTTTGTGACAAATTTTGGTAGATGCCTATTATTTGAAATTATATGGGGAGAAGAGGTGACCCAGGTAGGTTGCCCCGTGTGCGAAAGATTGCTGAAGACGACATTATGCGCCACCACGTGTGTTGGCGAACAACGTAGCTGTTCTGATGCATGTGAATCATGCGTGCGTTTTCTCGTAGCGGGTCTTCTTCCTCATAGGTTACTTGGTAGCTGGGCTTTCTTCAAGACTAGAAAAAGAGGATCAGATGTCAACTGCTAATGAAAAATCGAAGAAATCAAATTTGTTCTTTACCGGCTTCTTTTTTCAATTCTGCTGTTTAGTTTTTTTTTTCCTTTTCTTTTCCTTTTTTAGACTGAAAAAAGGGTTTCGAGAAGTGACTACCATCTTGACTCTGATATCATGTTGTATAAGAGAAGAAAATGGAGATTTTAGGAACTGAATAGCTTAATTATTCAAGCAATTTGGGATATGAATCGTGATTACAAAAAAATCTAAAGAAAAACATATAATTATAACCCTAGAGGGATTCTAAATCTTTCCGCATTTACAAAGAAAATATTTTTGTCATATTCAGTGGCAGATACAGCCTTTGTGCTGCGGGTTCAACAAATTCCAGTATTTCCAACATCTAGTTTAAATATATGTGTGAAAAATTACTAAAAGTTCATCAAATATTAAATCTAAACTCATAATTTCAATAGTACGATTAATACTTTAACATTACATATAAAATAATTAATAGTACAATGAGTTTAGTGCTAAAAACCTTGAAGTTCAGAGCCATCTAATTTATTTTTTGAATCAACCTCTTGTTATATTTACCGATTCTTAACAAGCCTCTTCTTATAAAAGTGTTCCTTTGGCTTTTATATTCATCGTCAAGAACAAAGTAATACTCCTTCCTCCTGCGATCCTGCCTCTGTCAAGGAATCTAGACTTCTACAGTGGAAGAAGCAGAAACTGCAACTGGTAGATGGTAGACAACCCACTCCCACCCGAATCTCTCAGCCAATATATTGGAAAATGTGATCTTTTTGTTCTTTTCATAAGTGTACGGGAAAATGTGATCTTGGCTCTTGCCACTCAAAGAATTCTACCTTTTGCTGAACTATATGCAATTTTGGAACCGCTTTTGGACACACCAAAATCACCATTCGATATCTATGTTGCTGTTGTTTTATTTGAGTAAACTAAATGTCAGAAAATGCAGGTCCAGTTAATGTACCGTGGAGTTGACTGCTCAGTACTTTGTCCAGTCACAGTCTAAACTCTTTTCCTAACATTTGTTTTGGGCATCAAACAAAATACTCTTCTAGTTACCACCCCGTCCCTTCTTTCCTTCTTTTGGTTCACTGTGGGAACTTAGGAGCTTCCAGGTCTTGCTAGCATTCCAGATATTTGAGTTGTAAGCTTGAACTTTATATTTTGGCAAAGAATTTCATCCGTGGTGATCTGATCTGACATGCTGTCAGTTTTATTATTTTTTTCTTGAATAATTCGTTTGTTTTTATCTCACAGGACATCTGATAATTTCTATGAATGACATGAACACTCTTCTGATGAATGGTGCACATGTTGCATCTGTGGAGAAAACATCTGGAGTTCTATCAGGAAATCGAAGTTCAAAACTGGGCCTGATGGAACCAGCTATTGAATATGTTATGAAATGCTTGTTCAGGGAGTCATGTGAGGTTGGTAATTAACAGCCATTCTTTTTTGTTTTCTGGTTTTGTTTCCGGCAAGGTCTGCTGTGCTCCGTGTTTTGGAATAAGTGGTTATGCTTTCACTTTTTTTTAACGTTATTTTAGTAACATCACTAGTAGACATTGATTCTCTTTTTAAGATGTGAAAGGGTGTTAAGATAATCTCTGGAAACCGAGAACAAGACACATAACACACTATGAGGATGGTTTCAGGAAGATGAGCAATGGGATCGGAACCTGAGGTAGGTTATCTATGGGAGGGAAGGTCTTGGTAAAACAGGAGTGGATAGGAAAAGAGGGAAATGATGTGCTGTTTGGGGAGATAAGGTGTGGGAAGGAAAGGGAAGAAGATGTGGAGAGGAAATTCAGAAAATGGAGGGACGGGAAAGAATGAGGACAGTGAAGTAGGTGAAGGGTTTGGGTAGTAGAGGGAGGGTGAAAAAAATAGAGGAGAGGGGAAAAAGAAACATGTAGGTTGAGAAAGGGTGGAGGGAATAGGGTAGGGTGCAGTCAAAGTCGAGGGAGCTGGCCGTAATAGAGTGGGGTAAGAGAGATAGGGGCATTCAGAAGCGAGGGAGGTGGCTAAGAAAGGGTGGATAACAGGGGAAGTGGGCAGGGGGCATTTATTTTAAGGGCCGTTGTAGTGGGTTCATTTTCCATTTTATTTGAACTATTTTGAGATATATCAAAAGGCAAAAGCTTCCACCAAAAAGAGCTGTAATTTTCATTTCCTCAAACATAATGGGATAAGGGTAGGGTTCGCTTTTTGGTTGGCGCCTGCCCTGAGCAGTTGATCTTTGTTGATCATCAGTAAAAACACACACATTAATTTGAAAGAAAAACTCACTATTTCAAACCACAGGGAGCACAGGTGAAGCAACCCACCTAATGCTGAGCAAGAAGATGGTTTTCTGCCTGGATTTTGTGGTGGAGTCTCTTGGTTCGATACCAAATATCTATTGCAACAGTGGCCCTAGTATGTTCTCCAGAGCCAGAGAGAGAACAGCAAACTAAGCCACCTAATGGGAGTTGAAAGGAAGACTAAAAATTGAAGAAATAAAGACTTGTTGGGGACACGTCATATGAGAGCTGAAGAAAATGGATTAATGTTGGGAGAAAAATGGGTAGACGGTATCTTAACAGCAAAGTAAACTATTCCCCAAAATACATGATATAAGTATCCTGATCAACTAAAGTGCACGAGTATCCTCAACTGATGTGACTGGTAGATGTTTAATGTTGGAACTACTCATGAGAAGAAGGCATTGAGTTCCATCAAAAGCAGAAAATTACAAGGGAGTTTGGCCTGGTTAGTTTTCCCCTAACTGAAAGAATCTATGCTCCTCTTAAACATTATTGTCAAAGGCGAAAAACTCTAATGGAGCAAGCATCATAATCGTACCGCTATAAAACAATCTATAGGAAGTGGAGCAACCTCTACTGCCCATTCTCCATCCTTGATGAGTCCGATTTTCTATGCTACCTTATTCTTAGTGTGAGAATGCACGGGAGAAAGATCTATTATTGATATTCTGTTTAATTATAATACAATGAACCCTATTTATGCAATAGATATCCCACTCCTATTCTATGCGGGACTAGGACTGATTCATATTATTTACATAACTATTTAACACTCCCCCTCAAGCCGGTGCATACAAATCACATGTACCGAGCTTGTTACATATGTAACCAGTACGTGCACCAGTGAGGGACTTGGTGAAAATATCTGCAAGCTGATCATTGAACTTCACAAACTTCGTAGTAATATCTCCTGAGAGTATCTTTTCTCTGATGATGTGACAGTCAATCTCAATGTGTTTAGTTCTCTTATAGAACACCGGATTTGGTGCAATATGAAGGGCAACTTGATTATCATACACAAGTTCTATCTTGTTGATCTCACCAAATTTCAACTCCGTGAGCAAATGTTTGATCCAAACTAGCTCACATGCTGCCATAGCCATTGCTCAATATTTTGCTTCTGTACTAGACCGAGCAACCACATTTGTTTCTTGCTCTTCCAAGATACCAAATTACCTCCTACTAAAACACAATATCCAGACATAGAACGTCTATCAGAAGGTGATCCTGCCCAATCAGCATATGAGTATCCAACGATATGCTCACGGCCTCGATCTTATAACAATAATCCTTTGCCCGGAGCTGATTTTATATACCGAAGAATGCGGACAATTGCATCCCAATGGCTACCGTAAGGAAAATCCATAAACTGACTCACAACACTCATAGGAAAGGAAATGTCAGGTCTTGTCACCGTGAGGTAATATGATTTACCAAACAACCGCCGATATCTTGCAGGATCGCTAAGCGGCTCCCCCCTGTCCTGACAGAAGTTTAGAATTCGCATCCATAGAAGTGTCAACGGGTCTACAACCTGTCATTCCTATCTCTTCAAGAATGTCCAAGGCATACTTCCGTTGTGAGATCACAATACCTGAGCTAGATTGAGCGACCTCAATACCCAGAAAATGCTTTAATCTGCCCAGATCCTTAGTATGAAAGAGATGGTTCTTCAACTTAGTAATACCATCCTGATCATTGCCGGTAATAACAATATTGTCAACATAAACCACCAGATAAATACAGAGATTTGAAGCAGAATGCCGATAAAACACAGAGTGATCAGTTTCACTACGAGTCATGCCAAACTCCTGAATAACTGTGCTAAACTTACCAAACCAGGCTCGAGGAGACTGCTTTAGACTCCCCCTAAGCAACAAAACCATGTGGTTGCTCCACATAAACCTCATCCTCAAGGTCACCGTGAAGAAAAACATTTTTAATGTCTAACTGATAGAGAGGCCAATGGCGAACGGCAACCATGGATAGAAAAAGGCGGACTGATGCTATCTTAGTCACGGGAGAGAAAGTATCACTATAATCGAGCCCAAATAGCTGAGTATACCCTTTGGCAACAAGACGAGCCTTAAGTCGATCAACCTGGCCATCTGGACCGACTTTGACTGCATACACCCAACGAAAACCAACAATAGATTACTTGAAGGAAGAGAAACAAGCTCCCAAATATCACTCGTATGTAAAGCAGGCATCTCGTCAGTCATAGCTTGTCGCCATCCTGGATGAGACAGTGCTTCACCTGTAGACTTAGGGATGGAAACAGAGGACAAAGATGATACAAACGCATAATGGGGTGATGACAAACGATGATAACTTAATCCTACATAATGGGGATTAGGATTAAGTGTGGACCGTATACCTTTCTGAAGTGCAATCGGTGGACTAGGAGGAGACAAGTCCGCAATAGGAGCAAGGTCAGGTGCAGGACGTGAATCAGCTGGGCTTGATGCCGGGCGCGGATGTGGTGTTGGTTTTTTGCACAACACCAACGGAAAGTGATTTTGTTGCGGACAGCCTCTTAAGTCGCCGTAAAATTGCACGGCGACGAGATTTTTCTTCTCGGAAGTCGCTGGAATGATGCACAACGATAAGTTTCTCACTAATGCTCTAATACCATGTGAGAATGCACGGGTGAAAAATCTATTATTGATACTCTGTTTAATTATAATACAATGAACCCTATCCCACATCTATTTTATGTGGGACTAGGACTAATTCATATTATTTACATAACTATTTAACACTTAGATCCAGCGAAATTGATGGTATTGGTTTCAGAGTCCACTGGCTAAATACGCTCCAGGTCTATTGGGGCTTTAAGTGCAAAGCACAATCTAAGTGTGAGCTTTAGTAAAAAAGGCACTATGAAATAAAAAAATAAAAATATATATGCAATTCAAGAAAAAAGTAACAAATTCATTCATAATGTTTCCTTAACAACTAATACAGTTATTTGTCGATTATATTTGTTGTTTAGTACCGCTCGATTCAAGATGGAACTCATGGGCAGTGAATGTGCACACCTTAGTGCCTTGCCTACATTGAAGTACAACTTAAGCGAGGAAAAGCGCTCTCCCCGAGATTTTCTGAGCTTCAAGGCTTAAGCGCACACTAAATGAGCATTTGACAACACTGTTCTTAAAAAGTAATAAGGTGCTCTATTCCTTTTCAAGATGGATCGAGGTTGAGAAATATGGCCTATCTTTTGGAATCAGAATGTGCCAATAAAAAAATTAATTGTATTAATCTACACATGTTTCTGTCTCTGTCAATTAGTAGTAGTTGAAATGAAGAAAAAAATTGTATGATGAGGATAAAAGAAAACAGAAAAAAAGTTCCCCTGCCAGGAATGAAATTCTACTCATGTCCCTTATTAGTCATTACCAACTTTTACTCATTAATCGCTATACCTCAATACAAGAGAAGGGCTAAACAACTTTATCTGAAAAAGAGGACGAAAGCTAGATAATATATTAAATTAAAGCTGAGCTATTGGCCAACTTAGGCTGCTTTCTGCTCTCTTCTGGACAGAAAGTGATTTTTTTTTCTTTTGGAAAGGTAGGATCTGAGCAGAAAGTAATCTTTAATCTACTAGCACACATCTAGTGACCAATTAATTTTTTGTTGGAATAAGTACATACGCAACAAGATAAATCCCTGTCTTTGCGCCACCTTCGTCTTGCCCTTGATTTTGACTCAAAATCTCGAGTAAAAAATAACTAAATGTTGCTAGATTAGAGCGGAATTTGTTCTTTCTTTTGTTCATATTACTAGTTGTTATAGGAAAAGCATATATACTTTGTAATAACAACCTATTGACTTGTAATGCATATGTGAAACAGTTGCAAGTTGGAGAGATATTGATGGGGCTTGGACTTGGGAGGAACCAATCAGAGTTGTTTGGAAACTCATCATGCATCTCGCTTGTTCTTCACCATTTATTAAAGGAACTTCCTATAGAAATAATTTTTTCTAATGCCTTGGACATTCTTCATCTCATTGAGTGTAGCTATGATTACTCCTTTGATCAGGTATTTTACTCTGGGATTCATGTGTAGCTGCTTCGTGAAGCTTTTAGTTCCGGTTATGCCTAACATCATTTCTGTTCAATATGCAGTGTTTGAATTTTAAGTTACTTGGACTCAGACTATGTGAAAACATATCTCAAGTGAATGAAGTCAATTTGGTAATGAAGAAGGTTATTCAGGTATGCAGTGTCTCTTCTTCAAGTACTATGTTTCTTTGAGGGTTGGGATGGGGCGTCTCTTTCTGTCTCTCTTGTTAGTAATTATCTTTGTAAGTCTAAGATAAACAATGAGATGAAATGAGGGAATGCATGAAGACTAATGTTTTTTCTCCTAAAACCTTTTATGGTCACACTTACAATGTACATAGCTGTATCCATCAGAGGTGGGATAGTAACTCTATACTACATCAAGTATAATTATTTTAGCTTAACTGTATTTTACACTCCCCTTCTAATGGGTGCATACAAGCCGTATGTACCAAACTTGTTACATATGTAACTAGTTCGAGGACCGGCAAGGTACTTGGTATATTTATACAAGTTGAGTAATTTGACTTTATGAACTCAGTGGAATGTCTTTTAAGGGTATCTTTTATCTGACGAAGTGACAATTGATTTCTATGTACTTGCTCTAATGAAATACTAAATTTGATGTAATGTGAAGTGTAGTCTAATCTTATTGCACAAGCTTTTTGACCGGTAAATTTTTAATTATCACACACAAGTTTGTAGTCTGATTATCACACACAAGTTCCATTTGACCAATATGCAAGCTTCAATTCTTTGATTAGTTGTTTGATCTATAAAGTTTGCAAATTGCCACTACCATGATTCTATATTCTGCTTTTGCACTGAGTCTTGCAATCGTGTTTGTTTTGTGCTCTTCCATGAAACTGAATTTCCTCCAATTAGAATGTAATATCCAGAAATAGAAGTAGAGGGTCTTTCAGAGGGTGACTTTGCCCAATCTGGGTCTATATACCTAACAATCTGCTCATGTCCTTGATTCTTGTGGAGTAATATTTTTGTTGGAGAAGATATTATTAAACTTGGGCTGCAGACCGTTGCGTCTCTATGAGTATCTCATAGAGGGTCCACTAACTTATTTACAGCAATCACCAGGAAGATAATACCAGGTCGAGTCATTGTGAGATAGTTTAATTTCAGAGCCAACCTTATATATCTCTTTGGATTACCAAGAGACTCCCTGACATGGTAGAAGTCTAATATTTGGACTAGAGGGTGTCAGAAAGCCTACAATATGTACTCCTTGTCTTCTAAAAATGTCGAGCATACTTTATAATATAAAAAATGCTTATATTATAATATAACAATGTTTGATCTTGGGTGCTTGGGAAATGTCGCAATACATATATGGTCGGTTTGTAAGTGCAAAAAATATGTTGGTTTACCACAATTCCATCCAGGTCACTACCCATGCTAGCTATGTCATCAACATAAATTATCAAGGAGATGTATACAACAACAACAACAACAATGACAACAACCCAGTAGAATACCACTAGTCGGGTCTGGGGAGGGTAGAATATACGCAGACCTTACCCCTACCTCGGAGGGATAGAGAGGCTGTTTCCGGGAAACCCTCGGCTCAGAAAAAATAGATCTGCAACAACAACAGAAACCAGAAAAATAGTATCAGTATCGTAAAATGCAGCAAATAAATGAAAAGGCCAAAAATGTGAAACACAACAAAAACCTCTAGCAGTCCTAGACAAAACACTATCAGACTAGCCGGCACAGCGAGGAGATATATGAAATGTATAAATGTGGAACATAGTGTGGATAGAACATCAAATGATTAGCTTTAAGTCTATGCGAAACTTCTAACTAATTATGTTGAACTTACCAAGCCTTGTCCCATGAGACTATTTTAAACCATATGAAGACCACTGGTCACTCCCTAAGCAACAAAATACCTGTGATTACTTTATATATACTTCAAGATTACGAAGAATGCATACTCATTCTCGAACTGATGAAGAAGCCAATGATGAACGTCAACTATGAAGAAAAAGAGATGGATATAAGCAATATTAGCCGCATGAGAGAATGTATCACTGTAGTTGTGTGCGAATATCTATGTGTATAGTGTTTGTGACAAAACATGCCTTAAGTTGATCAATTTGACCATCCTAGCAACCCTCATCATGTACATTCTTCGATAACTAAAGGAAGATTCCTGGAGGCAGAGCAATAAATTCTTCGGTATCCTATGGTGTAAAGTAAGCATCTCGTCATTATAGCCTATCACGAGCTTACAAAGGAAGTGATTTGCCTGCAGAGGAGAATAGAGATGGAGGATGAGGACGACATGGGAACATAATGGTTTGATGATGAACGATGATATGTCATGGGGACATAAAAAGATGAGGATTACGGGTAAATTAAATATCTTCCTAAATGATCAGCCATGGACTATGTGTAGGAGACAAGTCTGTAGCAGGTTAAGGGCGTGAATAATCTGAATCTCGCACGATGCTGGCATTGATGATAAGTCGGGAGCAATGGTGCTGTGGGAGGAGACAAAGAAGTACTGATAGAATCTCAAGTGATGGCATGGATAAAATCACAGATATGTCGGCCCTGGGTTTTGGCTTAAGGGAAAATGTAGTACACCACCGGATGCATGGTACGCGTACACCACATATTTGAATCTTGTGGTGAACCAACTCAGGTTCTTAAGTAGAGAAGAGTAGAGGGACATGTTATCCACTGACTTACAAAAGTTGGAAACAATAGATTTATCGGTTATTAAAAAGAAAAAACACAGAGATGTCAAGATGGTAAAAAAGAGGTACTTGCTCTCGTCCCAATTTATGTGATGATGTTTGACTCGGCACGAAATTTAAGAAAGGAAGACTTCTGAAGCTTGTGGTCTAAAACAAGCCATAGATATTTGTGTGGTTATAAATCATCTCATTAGGAATAGAGTAGGAAGTTTAAAGTTGAATTGTTTTTAAATAAAGAAGTATGAAATTCTTTTTGAGACAGAGTAAAAAGGAAAGCATGATATATAAATTGAGACAGATGGAGTATAAAATAAGGTTGAGTTTCAAAGAAGGTGAAATTGCTTGACATAAAGCATGGAAGGAAGTCAGATGAATAGCAATGATATGTCGCCCAAGGATTAGGCAATGAAGAAAACAGGTGCTCTCAAAGACATGAGGAAGGAATAAATCAGTGTGTAAAACTTGATCTTGATAGCGGAGAAAGCATACTATTAATCAAATAACTTGTTGTGAGAATTGTATCCCCCAAAATTTAGTGAAACATGTGATTGTTTGATTAGATTGCGAGCGGTCTCGATGAAATGTTCTATTCTTCTTCTCAATTACTGCAATTTATTTAGAGGTATGCACGACCTCTAATGAAAAATCTTAAGAGAGCGCATAAAATGCTAAAACTGACAAAATGAACATTTTTGTATTATCCTCGTAAAATATGCATGGAACCTCAAACTAATTTCGAATATTAGTGTAAAATGTCTAAAGTTTGAAAATTTTTAAGTACATTTTGAATAATCATCGATGGAACTAATAAAGCAACGGAAATTCCGAAGTGAAACAGATGTGACGGGGACTCCAAACATCTGAATGAAGGTATGTTGCTCGAATCTTCCAAAAATGCCGCCACACCAGTCTCGGATCCTCCAAAAGTGAATAACTTTTAGAGGATCTGACACATACCCCAACATCTTTGAATGATGCGAGCAACATAGGAATGAATTAAAGATAAAAGTAACCTTGCCTAATTATTAGGACGACGGAGCTACGAGGTAGGGACAAACAGATATGTTTACTAAGTTGTCACTACTCACATTTTAGATAGAAAGGTGAGATAAACCATATACTATTTTCTGAAAGTTAGATAAATTTTTTGAGAACCTAATTTTGTAATGGTTGTTGTCACGAGGACTTGTTGGAATTAAGATGGGTTGAGTCGAAAGTGCAGTCGACTACCCCAAGAAGCGAAAAGTTGGTCAAAAGATGGCCGAGTTGTTGAAAAAGCTAACTCCGTCACTTGAACTTGATAGGAGAGTCTCAGTCTAGTTTTCCGATGATCAAAGTTGCTCCGGAACCTTGATTGGTAGACTAGGAGGGTTCACACAACTCCTAAGGACCGAAAAAGCTTGTGAAAAGTTGTAAACAACACTTGCTATCTTTATTCGGAGTGTGAGAACGTGTCAACCTTCCGATTCCGGGTGCAACTTCTTGTGTTGTGCTTGTAGAGTGTTCTAATGTTTATGGAGTTGTGGTGGTGCTTGTTTATGCATACATTCTCAGTAGACAAAAGTTTCCTAGATGGTATTCGGATATTGCGCAGTGACAATACTTTCCTCTCCTGGCGTTGCTAGTAATTGTAGGAGTAATTTGTCATGGAAGCTATACTATGTGAGAATTAAGATAAACAAGAAGCACCCAAGGGTGTGACTTAGCTATTAGTGCACTGAAATGAAGATCATGGGAAAATAAGGTTTGAATCCTAGCAAAGGCTAAAAAATTGTAAGATTTCTTTCCATTAGCCTAAGAGCTTGGTAGCAGAGTTAACTGATACCTGCACTCGATGAAATAGTTGAAGTTCATGCGAATTGGATCGGACAGCATCGTTATTCAAAAAGTAAATAAAAGGATAATCAAGGAGCAGAGATTGAGAGAATGTGCGGAGACTAATATCTGTGCCTGAAGGACTATAGTCACACTTACAATTTACGTAGCTATATGTACCAGTCATGGATATTGACTCTATACTACCTCAAGTATAGCTTTTTACAATCTTATCTCTTTCACAACGCCCCTCCAATGTTCATTGTATAAACACTTGATTTCTGATTTTTATTTTGTTATCTGGGTTCATCTTTCTTCACGTTAATCTCAAATAATGCCCTATCCTTTTGCAGCCCTGGTTCTCCACTAATGTGGCTCTTCACAATTTTAATTAATTTTTGTATTTCAGGTTGTTTCTCGGTTTAATAGCCTTGATGAGTACCTCAATGTTGTAGATGCTCATATAGATATTGCTCTCCAGAAACACATGGTAAGTTGAGAGAACTCTGGTGAATGGTTTATGTATATCTAACAGCTGTTCCATAGATATTTTACTCTTCTGCAACTATGGTGCAAAGCATGATGTCGTCTGCTATTGATCGTGCAACCTGTAGTCTCGATCTTTTCATTGAGCATATGTTGGTTCAAAATGAACTTGTGATGGTCTTTTTGCTTCTTCAATCATTTTTACTAGTTTTAGTTGTTTATGCTGTACATCCCAAAGTTAGTACATAATTCCTTTTATTCTTGTGTAAGTCAGTTTGGCTAAATTAATTCATTTTTAGGGTGTAGGAAATTCCAAGAAACATATTAGACAATGAAGGATCAAGAAATTTCTTTCCAAGCCCTAACTCAATTTGTCTTCAAATGGTCACTAATCCAATCAGTGGTGAAGTTTGTTCTAGCATCTTGATTTATGTGAGGAGCGCATGACATTCAACCCTCCACGTTTTGCTGATACCCATCTCTTTTTCTTCACTTTGTTCCACTTCCCAGCTTTTTTAGCAACCAGTGCTCGTAATGGTAATACTATGAGGGTGAATTTGTTTAGGTGGGTTAAGTTTTATGTTTCTAGTATATTCTTCTTTGAAGTCTTATTTGGATGTGTTTGGTTTGGTGGAAATGGTTTATGAGAAAAATGTTTACAGTTACCGTATGTTATGTGAGAATGCACGGGAGAAAATTTTTATTGATTAATATTGACAATGATACAATGAGCCCTATATATATATAATGCATGTCCTACTCCTAATACATATGAGATTAGGGTTATTTACTACTATTTAACTATCAAACTAACACTCCCCTCAAGCTGGTGCAAATAAATCATATGTACCGAGCTTGTTACATATATAACTAATACGAGGACCAGTGAGGGACTTGGTGAAAATATCAGCAAGCTGATCATTCGACTTCACAAATTTTGTAGCAATATCTTCCGAGAGTATCTTTTCTCTAATAAAGTGACAGTCAATCTCGATGTGTTTAGTTCTTTCATGGAACACTGGATTTGACGCAATATGAATTGTAGCTTGATTATCACACACAAGTCCCATCTGACTAATCTCACCAAATTTCAACTCCTTGAGCTACTGTTTGATCCAAATTAGCTCACATGTGGCCATAGCCATTGCTCGATATTCTGCTTCTGCACTAAATCGAGCAATCACATTCTGTTTCTTGCTCTTCCAAGACACCAAATTTCCTCCTACTAAGACACAATATCTAGACGTAGAACGTCTATCAGAAGGTGATCCTGCTCAATCAGCATCTGAGTATCCAACGATATGCTCACGACCTCGATCTTATAACAATAATCCTTTGCCCGGAGCTGATTTTATATACCGAAGAATGCGGACAATTACATCCCAATGACTACCGTAGGGAAAATCCATAAACTAACTCACAGCCCTCACAGGAAAGGAAATGTCAGGTCTTGTTACCGTGAGGTAATGTGATTTACCAAACAACCCTCGATATCTTGCAGGATCGCTAAGCGGCTCCCCCTTGTCCTGACAGAAGTTTAGAATTTGGATCCATAGAAGTGTCAACGGGTCTACAACCTGTCATTCCTATCTCTTCAAGAATGTCCAAGGCATACTTCCGTTGTGAGATCACAATACCTGAGCTAGACTGAGCGACCTCAATACCCAGAAAATGCTTTAATCTGCCCAGATCCTTAGTCTGAAAGTGCTGAAAGAGATGGTTCTTCAACTTAGTAATACTATCCTGATCATTGCCGGTAATAACAATATCGTCAACATAAACTACCAGATAAATACAGAGATTTGAAGCAGAATGTCGATAAAACACAGAGTGATCAGTTTCACTACGAGTCGTGCCAAACTCCTGAATAACTGTGCTAAACATACCAAACCAGGCTCGAGGAGATTGCTTTAGACTCCCCCTAAGCAACAAAACCATGTGGTTGCTCCACATAAACCTCATCCTCAAGGTCACCGTGAAGAAAAACATTTTTAATGTCCAACTGATAGAGAGGTCAATGGCGAATGGCAACCATGGATAGAAAAAGGCGGACTGATGCTATCTTAGTTACGGGAGAGAAAGTATCACTATAATCGAGCCCAAATAGCTGAGTATACCCTTTGGCAACAAGACGAGCCTTAAGTCGATCAACCTGGCCATCTGGACCGACTTTGACTGCATACACCCAACGAAAACCAACAATAGATTACTTGAAGGAAGAGAAACAAGCTCCCAAATATCACTCGTATGTAAAGCAGGCATCTCGTCAGTCATAGCTTGTCNAAACCAACAGTCGATTTACCCGAAGGAAGAGGAACAAGCTTCCAAGTACCACTCGTATGTAAAGTAGACATCTCGTTAATCATAGCATGTCGCCATCCGAGATGAGACAGTGCTTCACCTGTAGACTTAGGGATGAAAACAGAGGGCAAAGATGACACAAATGCACAATGGGATGATGACAGACGATGGTAACTTAAACCGACATAATG